TTCCTGGATATCCATAGAAGCATGACCAGTGACCATTTAGGAGAGCTCCTGGGTACTGATGCTGGACTGATTCCTCAGCTCTTTCATCCTCCCACTAGCCCTGTACACTAGGTGATAGTGACCCCTATTAATGACAGCAGTGAGGCACGTGCTGTCCAAGTACACATAGTGGGAAATGGCAGTGCTCACCCTATACAAGGCTGATCAATTTTAACATCTTTGTGCTTTAGTTTTCTGAGCCTCATTGTTTCTTTAAAAATGGATGAAATGCCAACCTAGTAAAATCGCTCCAGTGACTCCTCCACAAGGGAAAGGGACACCCCCCTGGGAGCCTCAGTGTCTTTATCTGTAACATCTGGAAACTCAGGGTAAAGCCATCCTCCCTGCCTAAGTCCAGGGATGTGGGAAATCTCAGGTGCTCTGTCTGGGAGGGTATCTGACCTTTTCCATGTAGACTACCCACACCCTCTGATCTAGCATGTCACTCCCTGTGGACACCCCAGCTTGAGTAGGACAATCGCAGTTCATCCCTGATGCCAGTGTCCCCATCCACAGGAGAATGGAAATTAAAAGACAAAAGTTTCCATATGATGAGGTGTTCTGCAGGCCTTAAAATCAGAGGAGAAGCTCTGACTGAGGTTGAGAGAGGTTTCCAGTCACCTGTGGATTGGAGTGTGAGAGGCCTTCTCAACCTCTGAGGAAACAATGAAAAGTAGCAATGCTGGCTCCTGCTCAGGGCTTCAGTTCAAGGAGCTTCTAGTCAGTGTGTGCAGGGCTCATCCATGGACCGAGTGTCCAATGTCAGAGCAGCCAGGAGCCTGTCCTGGAAGCAGATCTGGGTTACCGTCCAGACCCCATCACTAACTCACTGTGTGACCATGGGCTGGGCTCTGTTTTTCCTGGCCTCAGGTGCCCCAGGAATGAGTGGGGACTGAGCTGCATGGTGTCTACTGACTTTCCACATCTAGGAGTTGGGAAGAGGATCATGGGCCTCTGGTAGTCACCCAAAAGGAGCATCCTCTTTGCTGCTTCAACCAGGTAACTAGCCTGCGTGGGGAGGTTCACATGTGTGGGGAGGTTCACCTATGTGGAGAGGTTCATCCCTCGAGTGAGGGATCTCCTAAGGTGGAGCTGTCTGTCCTGAATCATGTGGGTTCTCTTACCAGAGCCCACAGCAGAGCCAGTCCTCTGGGCATCTCCCCCAACAGGGCTCTCAGATCTGCTCCCCGTAGGACTTTTTGCTCAGTGTGTTGTATCTGAACACAAACTCACATGCCTTCTCAGCCCTGCACCAATTCTTTTCTCACTGGCGGGAAGAGAATGGAAACGTCACGGGAAAGAGCTTGTACCCACTTGTTTATTGCTTTTTCAACCCCTAAAAGCAGAGCTGGGCACACAGTAGGCCTTCAGGAATTATATGTCCAATAAGAGGAGACATGGCCATGGTGCAGGGAAGAATCTGGGGACAGGAGGTGACCAGATGACACCCACATGTTCAGTTTCCTCCTCTGTGAGGACCAGACTGAACAAGGCTCGGCTTTGGAGCAGATGACTAGGTTTGCAGACTTTTCTCCCTTTGTCATCAGGGTCCTTAAGCAATCTGCATGACCTTTAGGCTTCAACTCCCTGGTCTGTAAGAGGGGTGAAAGGTGACCATGAATATAAACACCCACCCACACCCCGATACTTACTTGTTGCTCAAAGAACACAGGTGTTATTCCTGAGCTATTGTCATACCAGGGGCGGGAGGCCCTGTCTGTACTCACCACTCACAGTGAGCCGAGTCCCAGGACCAGACTTAAACTCCTTATCAGGGGTCCCTTTCTCAAACTTCACACAATAGTAGGTGTTGGTGTCGGCCAGGGTGATCTTACTGATGCTGATAGAAAAGTCCATGTTGTTTCTTTGTGTGATGTCTGCCACACTTCTTACTCTGGGGTAGAGAGGTAAGTGTTCCTGGGTTCCTTTGAAATTGTAGATTAGCTGCCTATCTGGCCCAGTACCCCTGAACCAATTAGTGGGTCCCAAGGGTTGTAGAGAGGAGACTGTGCAGGGCAGAATGGCCGTCTCTCCAGCTGTTGCGGACACCATCTCAGGTTGCATCACTTGCAGCTCCTCCTCACCTGTCACCCCTGCAGGAAACACAGGGCCATTATTCATCCTGCAGGATCCTGTTTTCTCAAATGTGTATCAGCAATAACTTCCACTCTCTGTTGCAAACCATGACCCAGCCTTGTGCTCAGCAAGACCCACACCCATCTCATTGACTCCTCACCACTGCCAGCATGCTGAGACTGGATGACAAATGGGCAAACAGAGGCAGAGTGTGGTGTACATCCCAGTCTGAGGGGAGTTCTGAGCCCTATCTGGAAGAGCCATGTGGGAGCTGGGCTCTAAGACTCAAACCTGGATTGAGCAGGAGGAGAGGGGCCTGTTGTTCCGACAGAGGACCCAGCCTGGGACAAGGCTCAGATGTGGGGCAGCATGTGTGTGTGTGTGGTTCAGAAAGGAGCCTCGGATCCATTTACACCTGACCAGGATAAGCCCCAGCAGGAGCCGTACTCAGTGGTCTCAATTCCCCGTGTTGTGGAGCAGAGGAAAGATACAGAGTGTGAAGTGGAAGGGCTTGGGTGTGACCCTGGACATCTCTCAGGTGTCTGAGAGGGTCAAATGGGGGTGCTCACGAGAGGGAGCCCTGCAAACTGCCTTAGTGTGGGTGATTCCTTTGTTGCTACTGAGCCTTAATTTCCTCTTCTGTCGACTAGTTACTGTGACCCCATCTGGAATCCCTGCAAGGGATCAGTAGAGACTGTGGGGATTGGTAGAGACTGTGTCAAAAAGAAGAGATTGGCCTTTGATGTCATCAGACCTGGTTGGAAACCTGGCTGGACCCTTATTCATGTGTGACTCTGGAGATGATATAGCACCCCATCCTCTG